TGGAGTAATGTAATTTTAATGTGACTTAAAGCGACATACGTTCAACTGTGCTCTGAACTCAATTGGAAATTAAGGCCACATGAATTTTAAACAATTTTGTTAATTTGAATTTGTACCCCTTAGGTTATAACTCGTTTTTTATGTGGAAATGGTTTTTTTGTCTCCTGTGGCTAATGTTAAAAATTTAATTTTATGAAAGAGGCGGACACAAATAAACTGTATTTTATTTCCCATTTTTCGCTCCGGTTCATGGATTATCTCAGCGGTTCTCAACGTTTTGTGACTTACAGACAGGTAAAGCGACGCCTGATAACCTACCTGTTAAGTACGAGAATATAAACAGGCATATAATTAATATTAGTGGCAAATCCTTGTCTGAACGTCATATCGTGCGGATCTCCATAAAAATCTCACCCAAATGCTGAAGCATTTTAATAATAAATAATAATAAATTTGTAAAATATAAACACTAAAATGACTCCTGGGATTTTGTCCGATGATGTTTGATAGAAGTTTACCAACGTCTCAGAGGATCTTATGCCTCCATCTTGTGACAGTGTTGGTTAATGCCCTATGGTGCATGTTCTGTCCGTGATATGTCCATACACTGTATATTTTTCGAGTCGTGTATTATAAACGAACTCTATTTGAGTGCGATCATGCGATCGTGTTGATATAGTGAGTATGGGAGGGTCCACTTGCGTGATGTCAACGATGGATCGATCAGAGTGGACATGCAACACTGTTTCCACTGGCGACGGAGCATGTCTGTGGACACTTGAAATTTTCGGCCATATCACAATTAAAAATCTATTTATATTTGACTACAGTAAAATTTTTAGTCATAAATAAATTAACCGTTTATTTGAGACTGAGATATGATGTCACTGCTGTCTGTTGAATGTTGTTTTGAAAGTCTCTGAAGTAAGTTTTCGAGTTTAATTTAACATTGACGAGATTTGTGGTTATCACAGTAAAGAGTATGAAGATGACTGTCTTCTGGGATGTTGCACAGTATAGTCTGGTATATATTGACGGACGATTCAGAGGAACGTCCATTATCAGGGTGATGGAAGCTGTAGGCTCCTCTGAAACATCGGTCAGTATCTCCTATACTATACTGTGGAACGCGACAGAAGACAGTCAACTTACCAATTAAACGCAGTTATCAATACCAATGTATTTATAGATTTATAAAATGTGATTATTTTAACGTGAGTTAAACACGTTTTGATATTACTAAATGTTAGGAACGTCTACACCTATTTGAATCTGTGCTTCAACTGTAAAATTATTTGTTCATATATACGTACTGCTTTAAAGATTAAATACAGGAATGACGAGAAATATCTTAATTTTTGTAATTTTTATTGGCCCACCACATTCGTACGGATAAGCGTATTCTTGTAGAGTTAAATTGTAATAAATTAAATTAATCTTTGCCATAATTTAGGCCTACATTTGACTGATCTTTCGCTTTTGGCAGTTTTGTTTAGTAGCCTAATAAGATACTCACCGTAGAAAGGAACGGGAGGCAGTCGCGGGTTCACTGGGTCCAAGGGTCTCGGAGATGTTTTGTCGTCCGGTGGCTTCGAGGGCTGTGGCGGAGGTGGCAACTGAAACACAAAGCGTTCACGAGCTTCTAACAAAATTTTCATTAGAATTAGAACAAGATTAGATTGGACTAGATTACACCATTCTGGTCTTTTTACAACGCCTTGTGGATTTATAGATGGACACCAACGTTTTGGAGAAACGTGTTGTTTCTTTCCATTTTTCGGCCTGAGGAAGGAGGGATTATGTTCCTCCGAAACGTTAGTGTCTACATAAAAGTTCTCGTTTATACCCAGAAGACCAAGCACCAAAGCTTAAATCTCGTATAGATTATGTATCAATTGGGTCTATTAAAATAGATAATATTTTTTGTAAGGGTCAAATTGATTACGATGTTTAAAGCAGTTTCCGAAACGGGATAGTCAGTACATTGAATTAGGCAAAGATCGCTTCATTCGATAGCTTTTCTAATTCATTATTCATACTTCGACATTCAACAGTCTCTGAGTTAATAACAGCTTTTACAAATAAGCCACAATTAAATAAGTAAATAAATTAATAGTGAAAAGATCGCGCGTTCCATGGTCTCTAAATATCTCTGGCTTTATAACCAACCTCGCCTTCTGTGACACGTGTTAAAATCTGACGGTTTAAAGTTCACAAAGTCATGATCATAGGTTGTAAAATGAGTTCTTTTGGACTTTGTCCATCGTATAAATTATATTATTATTTTTATTATTTAGTGTTCTGTCTAACGACAGGTCCATATGAACAGGATCCTTCCATCCTTTTCTCGGACTGGGACCTGTTCATATACGTTCTTGGCAGATGATCCAGAAGTGGTTTGCCATTGCCTTCTTCTGTGTGTGAATGGAGTAATTGTTGGGATGCCACGGAGAAACCGGGGAAGCCCCCGGAGGAAAACTCCTTGTTGCCCAGACCACGGCCTTGCCCAACACAAGTTATAAATTCGGGCACCGCCGGGAATCGAACCCCAGACCCCAGTATTACAAGGCCTTCGTCTTCAAGTGGAAAGGGTTTAAGCGGACAAAGCCTATCAGTTGGGGCTTCTTAGTTCAGCTAGCCTCAGACCTAGATCTGAGACTACACACACCAATGAAAACAGGAAATTTAATAAATACATACTCAATAACTTTCAGTTAAACAGTCGGTGGACGTGTGGGGTAAAGCATGTCGAAACCTTGTAACATTTGAAACTATGAAAGTGACTAGTTTTCTTCAAATATTTTCGTGAATAACACAGTAATTATTCATAATATATTTCCTGTAAATGTGGCTTTCACATGATGGTAGATCACAACGAGTATAGTATTTTAGATGAAAAAAAAAGTTTTAAAACCAAGAATTGCTTTGTTATTTGTGTGATATATTTATACTAAGATAACACTCAGGCCTTACACTACAGAACCTTAATAAAATATTCTATTATTATTGAAGTCGCAGCTTCGCCTGCCATAATTATCTGGAGGCCCCGTTTTCAGTGTGACTCAATTAGGTCCCCCAAGTTTCTGAATTTTTTATAATGCAATTTTCTGGAACTAGTTTAAAAAGAATCAGTTTGCGTTTACTCGGTATTTCTAGGACACAGCGTTTCTAATTATTACCGTCCATTGTGTTCACAACTCCCACTGCAGAACGAAACTGGAAATTAATGCTTCAGTTCAAGTTACTTGGTCGGAGCAGATGAAATAGAGACCGGTAGATGAAGGTTTAAAAACATTCTCGTTAATATAGAGTTTATAAATACGAAGCTGATGGAAAAGTGAATTTAAAAGATCTCACAGCGTCTGTACAATAGACTTCACATCCATCTGCGATGTTATTAAAGCTACATAATTCAAAAGACAGCAGTAAGATATTTAAAAACTGTTGACATGAGACTGCAAATGTCAGTACCATTACTGCATTTTCACTCCGTGGTTACTGACAGGTATTAAAACGCACAATATCGTAACTGTAGCAATTTTATCCTCAGTATTTTAGTCACGTAATAGTTTAATACAATTATTTTAGAAGAATTACATACTTAAAAAGTAATAATTGTATCAATTAGAAGTTTCAGCCTGTGAGGTCATAAAAGGCGTGAGATTTCAGGTTCTAATGGCGGCGAGTATAAAGATGACTTTTGTGGGTCTCTACGCCATGCATTCTGGTAGAAGTTTATCAACGTTTCAAAGGTATTTACTGCCTCCGTCATCAGGGTGATCGCCGTGATTGGGATATATTAAACTGTGTCATGTTCTTCATGAAGCCAACATTCTACTTCGTCATCAGATGATTATTGGTAGATGATGATACCGTTTTACCATCCTTTGTGGCTTGTAAGCCTTCTATAATAGTAGCTATAAGAAAGACTATTATGTCATGCATAAAACATACAGAAATCTAATTTTAACTGTTTTTGTTGTTGTGAATTTTGAATAGTCACATGAAGGGAATGGCTTGATATAGAAAACGGGATTGCCGAGAAGAATTTCTAGATCGAAGGAAACTGCATAACGACCGGCTTTATAATTTGTGTTGTTCCACAAATATTATTAAAGTGACAACATGAGGATGATATGGGCGGGGCATATAACACTATTAAAAGAATTTAAAAATGCGTGCAAAAAATTGAGTCGCTAAACATGAATGTAAGACCCTTTGGGAGACGTATCTGTATGTGGGAGAATAATATTAAAATGCATCGTAAATAAATAGTTTGGAAGTTTTATACTGAATTTATCTTGCTCAGAATAGGTTCCTGTGGATGTCTGTTGTGAGCACGGTAATGGATATTTGGGTATTCCGTAGAGCTGAAAATTTCTTTACCAGCAGAGTAACTACCAGATTCTTAAGAAGGCTCCTTGGAATTATCTATTTTCATGCTTCATACTTCAGTACACAACAACAGGGTATTGTGACCGCCTCTTTTCTGTTCGAGCTGTTACACTAAGCGTGTGTTCTGAACTTCGTTAATTCGTTTCTGGCGGAGCTTAACTCAATTATCTGCTTATCTGACGGGATTAATTTGGATGTATGTTTGCTCTGCAACATGTGAGGTGGCAGAGACAGTTCCTTCTCTTTGATATTGATTTAACTCACTTCCGAGATGCAGAATCCACAAGATTCTACGGTGAAAATGGAAATCGATGTGCGAGACGAAGTTCAGAATGAAGCTTGGAGAAGTATACGTATACGTCAATGTTATATCATAAGAATACAGTGTTTAGTCTCAATATAAAGATGGCTAATGAATTCGTTGGAAATATAGCATATTTTGTCATCGTCCTCATGATGAAAATAGCAAGCATATCTGAAACGTCGGTAAACATCTACCAGATTACACGGCGCAACGTCCCAGAATCCCAGAAATCAGTCATCTTCATGAAGAAGCTCGATTATCTGAGACGGAGAGACATAAATAAAAATTAAATTTCCAAAGAAATTAAGGGAAGATTAGATTTGGAAAATTCTTACTGCCATTCGGCATGAATCTGTCTTAGAACTTTGAGTTTAAAATTTATAAAACACTTTTACCTGTTATACTGGTGTGTGAAATTTGGTCTCCCACCGAAAGAGAATAATTTCGATTGGGGAACTTTGACAACTGACTGATAGGGAGAAAATTTAGACCAAAGTGACCACAGTGATCATATCCAATGCCGTATTTCTGTCCATGAAACTTTGGTGTACATTAATAATTTATACGTTCCGTAACACTGACATAAGACAACCGCGTACTATATTTTAGAGCCTAAAACTACAGAAACAATCTATCGTTTCATTCAGGAAAGAATATCTTTCGAGAAGTTCCTTTGCACCTGTGCACATAATTTAATGTCGAATTAATTTCATGTTGAGTCTGGAATGCTTAACCCCAGCTGTCACCCACAGTATGTGTTCCTATACAATGCAGTTCACAGTAACAGCTGCTAGTAACTCGCCTCTCTTCGGAAACTAAGCATTGTTTCACATTCAGTCCGACCCACTACGGTCCAGATGCTCTGCAGAACACGTTAAAGTCGACCCCCCCCCCCCCCCCCCCCCACCTCCGAAAATATAGCCCGGAGACCGTCAAACTCCTTCAGAATTCCCGATTCAATTGTTTATCATTCCTGTCTGCTACAAGTCCATGAAGAGTGTGGCCAAAGGAACTCAGTCCGTACCACAAAGAAAACACCACATTTTACCATTACAAAGATCAATTTGTTAATGATGTTGCGAAAATAATAGTTTTGGTATATATATTCCATAATTTAAAATAGTTTTTGTAAAGTTGACTGCCTACTGGGTTGTAGCCTGGTGAGGTGTGGTAGAAGTTTATCGACATTTCAGATGTGCTTGCTGCCTCCATCATAAAGGTGAAATAATCACTGTTTATCAATCCATAAATACAGATTTTGGCAGAATGCAGAGTCATTAAACGTTATAGTAGATTTGAAGTCTAGTGGTAACTATTTGTACCACCTACTTTAACAATCAGTAAGTATACATTTGATGTATGTAGGTTTCGTATGAATCTCACTGTAAACAGCGAATATTTTCTTAAACAGCGTTAACTATTTGATTTTTTAATGAACAGGTGTGTTTTCTTCGCGGTACGGACTGAATTCTTAAATATTTAGATAATCTTTGACTTTCAAGCGCTAACACACTTTTTAATGCCCATTAATCCTGGGGTCTCGGGTTCGATTCCCAGCGGTGCCCGAATTTATAACTTGTGTTGGGCAAGGCCGTGGTCTAGGCAACACGGAGTTTTCCTCCGAGGGCTTCCCCGGTTTCTCCGTGGCATCCCAACAATTACTCCATTCACACACAGAAGAAGGCAATGGCAAACCACTTCTGGATCATCTGCCAAGAACGTATATGAACAGGTCCCCGTCCGAGAAAAGGATGGAAGGATCCTGTTCATATGGACCTGTCGTCAGCCAGAACACTAAATAAAATAAATAATAAATCCGGCCTACATCTAGGTCTTTTAAGCTTTATAGGAGATTCTGCACTTGAATTCGGGAATTAACACTTTTAATCTCAAAATATACAATTATGAGTGACAAATATTTCAAACGACACTTTTATATATCCTAAAATACGTTTGAATTTCCGCTTTAAGAACGCTGCTAGCAACATGTACCCTTTAGAGACACGTGTACACACTTCCATAAAATGAAAACGTAATATGATTTTACGAGTGAGTACTTTCGTAAGCAACTCAAGTGTTCCATAAAGGGCACTCAAACCTCTGCCTGTCCTCCCAGGCCCTTAGTAGCGCACTCACCTGCAGACATAATTAGTTTCAGTAACGCACTTAATTGAATTAATTCTTAAGTGCAATACTTCATGAACCAATAAAAAGTTGTCTATTGCCCATGTCCTCCTAGAAACTCATGTGTTGAGAAAATGTTTCTTGGCCACAGACTTTAGCGCCCTCACAGTCTGGATAACCACTAGGGCTTTATAGATTTTGCACTACTAATGAAAAGTTGCATCGTTCCATTATTCATTGGGTTCAAATGCCGATGGTATTAATTAAATATATCCTTGTGATATATGAAACTGCATAAATTCAGTCAACTTGTCTGTCACACAATTCGGGTGTTTGTGATTGACACAGAAGCCAACGATAAAATGAACACGCTGTATGCATATCAAATGTGTTGATTCGAGTGGACAATGCAGCAGATCATATAACTTAAAGAGACTTTGATGTAGGCTATAGGAAGATTAGAAGTCAATATTTGACGCACCTAAATGTAATGTTATTAGGTACTGAGATTAATATGTCCATCAGAAGTTCGCAGAAGTGGCTATAATTTGGAATTATTCTTAAAATGATTACTGCTAAAATTTGTAATTTAGGATATAGAATTTTATCAGATAATTCATATTAATAGAGAAATATTAATGGTAACATCCATACATTTTTTAATTTCTGTGATTGTAGAGAAATTTTACAGAATATTTCGTTCTTTGTAATAGGAGAGAAATGAGAAATTTCTTCACAAACATTTATTATAATCTGCATTGAAGGATTTATATTATAGTCCCTATTCTGGTTTTGTATAATAACAGGAATTACAATATATATGTAGGTCTCTGAAGTTTATATCTTTACATTGTCATACGCAACGGACCTGTTCATAGTATTTAGTGTCTGGTTTCGAATGAATTTGTCTTTTCATGAATTGAAATTAATAAAATGTCAATTTCTTATTTGCTCTGCTTATCAAATCGGCTCAAATACGTGCATTCAGCAGATACAATAGTTATATTTCTCCACAATCCTCTTTGCATTTTGCAACTGAATATGTATGTGCGTTTGTTGTGATTCGAATCATAGATTTAACAATCTCATGTCTGCATGGAATAGTAATTTATTATTTAGTTTGTTCTTAAACTCGATTTTATAGTATTAACACAGGATAAATATGCTTATGTAACAACATTTGTAATGTAAGTATTAAGGAAGAAAAGTATAATGTAATTTCTATTCGTCATGTCACATATACCTGATTTTAATCCAGGATTTTTCGTAATTTGACATGTTCAATATACCAAATTAAAGTTGAACCCAATTTCCAATAAGCAGAGCAAGCTCTTTTAAATGCCCCGCTGTACATGGTCCATTATTAATTTTGTGTTCTGTGTACCGCAATGGCGAAATTGAATCAGCTGTATAGCATTGTAATTAATTATTAAGCTGGCACACAAACAGTATTCATTATTTCAATTACTCAACTGTAAGCTTATGCATGGTATAAATAACCAAGCTGTACAACATTAAAAAAGTTTAGTTTAATGATTTAGAAACCAATGCAGGATAATTTAAGGGTGGCATTGAAATCACTTATCTGAACAGTTTTTAGACGAAAGTGACGTGAATAACAATTAGTAGTCTTCATACAACAAATCAGTATTATAAGTTTAGTATTTAATATTTTATACAATAAACTACTAAAACTTGTAATATCAAATCTAAAACTTCTTGACGATGGTGAAGAGTCAATTGAATAAAAATTTACTTGGATATTATCCATCGTCTAGTAAATATAAAACGTAAAACGACGTTTCGGAGATGGGGCTCTATCTCCGTCAATAGAGATAGAGTCCCATCTCCGAAACGTCGTTTTACGTTTTATATTTACTAGACGATGGATAATATCCAAGAAAATTTTTATTCAATTAAAACTTGTAATATTGATTTTTTGTGTAAAGACTGCTAATAATAATATAGTTATTTAAGTCACCCACAACATGACGCTCCAGTGCAGTCGAAAGCGTCGTTTATCCAAAGTATTACAAACAACTATTTGGACTTGAAGAGGTCGTACTATAAATAGAAAACATAAAATATTCTAGGGGGAAAATCGAAATTATGGCAAAAGGATGATAGAAGATTAAGGAAAGAAACTATTTTCAGTAATTGGGAATCTTTTACGTACCACTGCCTTTGTGAGGCAGGCTAGTGGACGGAAAATGAAATGCACGCATTCAGGGCTTTAGATTCGTGCCACGAGAAAGGGGCAGGTTGTGAATAGGTGCCCTTATTACGTAAGGGGTTTTCATACAACCCTATTGAATTCGAATCAATAAGAAAAGAAAAAAAATTGGGGTTTCATCTGAATCCAGACACAACTTTTACGTATAACTTTGGCAAGTCATATTATAAAATATGACAGCCACGGTGGTCTAGCGGTTAGAACGCTGGCCTTGTAATCCTGGGGGGTCTCGGGTTCGATTCCCGGCGGTGCCCGAATTTATAACTTGTGTTGGGCAAGGCCGTGGTCTAGGCAACACGGAGTTTTCCTCCGTGGCATCCCAACAATTACTCCATTCACACACAGAAGAAGGCAATGGCAAACCACTTGTGGATCATCTGCCAAGAACGTATATGAACAGGTCCCAGTCCGAGAAAAGGATGGAAGGATCCTGTTCATATGGACCTGTCGTCAGACAGAACACTAAATAAATAAAATTATAAAATACAAGCTGGTTAGATCATAAGCCCGCGCAGGGGACAGTCTCAACATCACGGCAGTAGAACCCGAAGGGTTGACTCTACTAAGACAAAGTACACCATTTGATTCGATATCCGTGACGTACTTTTCTAAGAAATTATTTTTTTAAGGTCCAGTGTAGAGTCATCATCTTGTCTCCTTTTTGGTGTTCCAGACGGACATTATCCAAAATATTTTCTCCCACCAAAATTCTGTATATTTTTCGTTACAGGGCTTTTGAATTTTATCTTACCGTCGGTCTACGCCCTATGAAACAAACTACGGCCTTCAAAATCAGTTTTTGTTTTTCTCTTTGCTTTCATTTATAATCTGTACGTAGATGTATCGATGTATCGATTGTTATTTTGAGGGAGTGATTTGATGGACAGTGCAGAACGACAGGAATAATACCAAAAGAAAAAGAAGAAAAGACGATATCAAAGTAAATTACAAATCTTTTCGTCAAAGACTAGTGGAAATGTAATATCTTTGGTTGTTCGTTAGGTACCGGGTGTAGAAGAAAAATCGTTCATATTTCCTTGTAGCTGGCGTCAGCTTCTCCATGATTGAATCTGTTTTCAGAAGCAATATTTGTAATATTCTTAGTTCGAAACTTGGTTTAGTGAATTATGAAAGATGAATTGACCACTGTACTAAGAAGAAAGCATACACATGAAATAAAGATTTATAGGTGGGTGTTCTAACTTTTGTATTGTTCGGAACATGGAGAATTTTAAATTTTAAGATCCGTGTTTTATCAAATTTACTACAGGATGAAGTACTCGTAGACTAAAATAACGAGAAGTCTTGTGTTTAGGGGTAGATTTCAGTGTCTTTTTGACTTAGAAATGTTATTATGTTCGATGGTTTATATTCCTGATGTAACGCATTAAAATATTCACTTTATATTGTGATCGGTGCAAAAGTATATTAAAAATATATGCAGTTCATTGACTGGTGTCATGTAGCTTATACGTCTGTAATTTATCTCAAAGAAGATTGTGCGTGAGGAATACATTCATTATTATAAATACAAAACAGAATGCTTATTGAAGATAGATGTCTTCTTGGTTGTTCAGCCGTGTAGTGTGGTGGAAGTTTACCGACTTTTAGAGGTGCTTTATGCCTTCACCATTAGGGCTGTCGCAACGTCTACAGAACTACACGATTAAACAACCCAGAAGACAACCATCTTTGTACTCCCCGGCGTCAGAACTTCAAATCTCACTTAGATGGTTCATTATATGAGTACTGTCATAAAATATAGATGTACAAAATTTCAGAGAATAAACTGTGTGCGACGAACGTTAATACCCTGTGAATCAGGGTTTTTTACGATGAAAACCACAGAAGTATGTTTTAATTGTTAATTGATTTCATTACGAACTATAAACAAGTTTTTTTTACTAATGCGTTTAACGAAGCGTGTGTTAAAAATTTGATTTGTCTTTTATCTGTAAATGAACTAAACTTAAATACTTTATTTCCTCGATTTTAAGACGCCATCGATTTGAGACGCAAAGTTGGTTTTATAATAGATTTTAGTAAAACGGGCGCTATATCGATCCTTGGACCCCGTTAAGTGTAAGACACACCCAGATTTAAGACATAATTTAGTACAAATAGGTCTACACTGAAATCCGAAGCCTGTACCAGGCACAAACTAAAAGTGATGATGATGATGATGATTACAATAATCTCTAGGAAGTCTACTTACCGTATTGCTTATTGCTGTCATCCAGTCGCTGAAACGTAAAATGAAACACAATTTAGTATCATTAAAATCATGAATAGATGTGAACAGTGGTATGAAAATAAGGCATCATTCTTAGCCTTGTCAGTGTTTATTATTAGAAATAAATTTTAAAGAGCAGAGACGTTCTTAAAAAGCTAATAGTTGCTAAGATAGTAAAAATCCCAAATTTGACTGAATCCTGTGGCTCTTTTCATAGTCTTCCGAGGTTTTACGCCGTGCAGTCTGGAATAAGTTTACCGAAGTTTTAAATATTCTTATTTCCTCAACTATCAGGGCGAAACTTCGGTAAAATTATACCAGAATAGATGGCGCAACAGCTCATAAGACAGCCATATTTAGGCTACACAATAGTTTCCTTTATTGAAATTATCCGTATTTGAGCTTAACTCTTTAAAGCACAATGTTTGCTATTTTAACGACACATTTTAAAATTTATATTAACTCTGCGTTTTTATGAAAAAGTATGTTTATGTGCTTCGTATGAATCTTAGAATAAACAGCGATTACTTACCTAAACACTGTTAACCAATTGATTTTTGTTGGAGTTACTAGGTTTTAGGAATTTGCTCATCGTCCAAGGTTGAAAAGCATACGACGTTTCGAAAACAGGATTCATTTTCGTCTTCAGGTGTATGGGGCTGGGGCACCTACTCTGTCGGGTCCGATAGAAAGAGTTAGTCTGAATGACTAGACCTTTTCGAAACGTCGTGTGCATTTTAACCTTGGTCGATTGACAAAGTACAAAAACCCAGTAACTCCGATTGCATTATAACATCATGACAACCCTACAGAATCCAACAGTTGATTTTTGTGGTTTTTTAGGTTGGAGCTGATGTTTTTAATATTATTTAGATAAATTTAGTGCTTCAAAGGATTAAACGAGTTTACAGGCATTATGGCGGATTTATTATGTTTGTTTTGAAGGATGTTTAACATGACCGATAACATTTATTTGGTTTTGAGTGTTCAAGACACTTGCCCGTACCTCCCTCCGTCTGCAATCTTGATCTGCTTCTGTCAGATGGTGTTACTGATTAAAGTTCTCTGTCTCACTCGAGCTGACGTCACGATGTCGGGTGATATTGGTCTGCGTACACCGAATTACTTTGTAGGAAGATTTGTTCCTTGGGCGATTACATGCCCAATACTTTACTGATGGGATTCTGGTGTAATTTTAAGTGATATTTTAGGTTCTCTCAGTGAGGAGTATGAAGATGTATAGTTTCTTGCATGTTGCGTTATGTAGTAGTTTTTTTGTGTCTTATTGTTTTGTTCTGTCTCATTGTTCTGTTGTTTCTTATTGTTATTGTTTGTGTTGTCTTATGTTTTTTGTGTTATTGTTTTGTTCTGTTTCATTGTTCTCTTGTTTCTTATTGTTTTTGTTGTCTTATGATTTTTGTGTCTTATTGTTTTGTTCTGTCTCATTGTTCTGTTGTTTCTTATTGTTTTTGTTGTCTTATGTTTTGTTGTGTCTTATTGTAGGACCACTGCCACCGGGTAAAAACCCATTTGCAGTCAAATAAATAAATAAAATAAATAGAAGTGCTTGCTGCCTCAATCATCAGGGAGATGCTATCTGAAATTTCGGCAAGTTTATACCAAATTACATGGCGTAACAGGCCAGAAGACAGTAATTTCCAAGACGATTTTAATTGTATGGATGGAGATGAAATCGGTTATGACAAATTGAATTATATAATTCTTAATAGTTCAAATACTAGCGATTTAAATGTTTTCAGAGCAGGGTCTAAGATATCAGATATTATGCGCGTTCAGTGGTTTATCGAATCACGGTTTACCTGCGATATAATGGCAGTCATTATTTGAGAGTTAACTCCACTTAAGTTTTACTTAAAGTATTTTATTTTGCTCGTGTTACATTGGTTGTAGGCCAAGTCGAGAAGTTTTAAAAGTTAATTCAATTCAATTCAATTCAATTCTTTATTATTTGTGTGCTGTATCAACAGCCTGGTGGCCAATTACAGATACAGCACAGAGATAAACTCACAAATACAGTAAAACATAAAAGGTAAAACAAGCAATATATAAAATACATTGATACTGAAAGTACACAAAAAATTACTACTAACTACATTAGGATATTTGTAAAATAACATGCATCAATTAAGTAAATTATGCTATTATAGAATATGATTAAGTGTGACAATTTTCGTCTCGAATATGTCCAAATCCCTGCAGACAACATTAGCAGCTGATGCGCATCTAGCAGAAGGACTGTTTTTGAACAAGGGGCTAAAACTGAACATAGAAAAATCTCTCAGATTCCGAGCAGGGATGCGGAG